AGGTTCAAGCGATTCTCCTGCCTCAGTCTCCCAAGTGCTGGGATTACAGCTACTCAGTCTGCCTCAGTAGCTGGGATTACAGGTGCCCACCACCACACCCAGCTAATTTTTTTGTATTTTTAGTAGAGATGGGGTTTCACCATGTTGGCCAGGCTGGTCTCGAACTGCTGACCTTGTGATTTGCCTGCCTCAACCTCCCAAAGTGCTGGGATTACAGGTGTGAGCCACCACGCCCGGCCTGGGCGGCCTTTCTTTCAGGATTCCCTGAATCGTTTGACCATATCTTTAGAGAAGTGCTCAGTAAGTCAAGGGCTGAACCTGTCCAGTGAATGATGAGCAGAGCTTCAGTTTCCACCAACTCATGGCTTAGCTCTGAGGAGACTATTGAGTTCTGATGTTAGTTTTCTTCTTTAAGTGATGGTAGTACTGTCTTCAAGGTCAGGCTTGAATTTGATTAAAGTAGAATTTTAAGAACTTAGTCATATTATAGTTGTTTCAGGAGGTCAGTTTCATTCCTATAAAATTTTACTTTATAACCCAAGCTGCAGTGAAGCCCTCTTAGGTCAACTCTGCCTAAAGAGGCACCTTATTATTGTTATTATTTCTTAGGTTAAATAGATTCTTATATGAGCCATCTTTATGCTATCTCCCTAAACCTCATCACCCCAAATCTGTCTTCAGAGGGACAGATTTTTTTTTTTCTGAAAGACAGACCAGTAATAGTTAAGTATACATTTGAAATATGCTCCAAAATTTTCTTTTGTGATTTAGGCTAAGTAATGTTAAAGCAAATAATCCATTCTCCAAAAGATGCACACGGCGTTCAGATCAAGCCATCTTTGCTTAAATGTTACTGCTGTTTCAATGCGTCATCTCTATACACGATCTTCGTTCTTTCCTGGGCCATGTACTATTTAAAGGTAGTGTCAACAGGTCAGACACAAATTCTGGGAAAGTCTTTTGAAAGGAATGATAATGAAAAGTGCTTCTTAAGAAGTAATGCTGCTGCTTTTCTGAAATATTGGTCTTCTGTTTTAGTGCGTAAATTCACAGAGAAACATGAATGGATAACAACAGAAAATGGTATTGGAACAGTGGGAATCAGCAATTTTGCACAGGTATTGGATTATATTGAAATATTTGTGACAGTATGCTCTTGCATAATTTGCTTTATCTCTACGTTTAAAAAAGTGTTTAGGCCGCGTGAGGTGGCTCATGCCTGTAATCCTAACACTCTGGGAGGCTTAGGCAGGAGGATTGCTTGAGGCCAGGAGTGCAAGACCAGCCTGGTCAACATAGTAAGACCCCATCTCTACCAAAAGTTAAAAAAAAATTAGCCTGGCATGGTGGCTTATGCCTGT